TTAGACATTTATTTATGCGAATCCTCGCGCTGGCAAGCATACTGCCCCGCGCTGAGAACATAAAGAGCAGTGCTACACCCTTTTTTCACTTGTGCCCTCCAGGTGAACGACAGCCACAGACAGACAAGAACAAAGGCGACCCGGGAAACTTGGGCAAAAGCCTCGATCCTGTGTATCCACCCGTTAATCCGTGAACTTAATGTCACATTGTGCATCAAAACTGGACTTGCTCGCTGGTGTTTCTACTGGTGCGGATTCATATGCAAAAGTTCCTCGGGAGACAGTTTTTGCCTGAGTTTCGTCAGCACAACTTTGGGCGGCGCTGGTATTTTGGTTGAAGTGTCGAACGCAGCACTCTTTGGGGCACAGTAGCTGATCTCAGCTTATATTTTACTCTTTGTGTTTTAGGTGGCCCTGCAGTATCAAGTATACATTAATCTCACGTGAATATACTCCCAATTTTCCTATGTAACCTTGTTTATTATTGACGGAGAGTTTGCGATAAGGGCCAGGCACATTGACAAAAGTTCAAAAAGAACTAGACGTCGGTTGTAAATTGATAGCAGGGTGACAGCAATATCACTCAAACACGGACGCCCTACGTTGACATTAAGACCGAAATAGGAAGATCCGCTTGAAAAATGGTTGTGTTGAAACCGGCCGCCTGAAATATGCGTCAGATAAAATGTCATTGACTGTCCACTCAAATTAGCAGTAGATCAATAATTGTTTGCTTGCAGAGTAGGGAATTCTCCGGCGGTTTGCTTTAAGAGAAAACGCACTAACATCTGCTTCAGCTTCAACAGAATTTCGCGCCGTCCGATCCACCAGCTGTACAAAATGTGTGGTTGGTACGCTTCCGCCTTCTTCTGGTCTGAGAATTATACTGAAACGGGTGCAAATTTCTCCAGACTTTCCTGAACGAGGGCCAGAGGTTTGTTAATGAAAACGCCAGGTATTCTTGTTTCTGGGTGAAGAACTCGTGCTAAGCCATCCAAAATTCATTGGAAGACGTGTCGGAAAGGTCTGTTAACAGTTACAAGGAGGAATTCCATAGACTCGTTCATACCGCAGGATCTAAGCGTTGGGGGTGTTTTGCAATTTATTTACGCAATTACCCAATCTTTTAAAGGAGCAGCTCTTCACGAATCCATAAACAGACTAGACACCTAAGTGAACAGTCTATTCAAGCGCAAACGTGTAGCTATATCTTCAGCCAGAATCTCAGCACTCGGTTAGCCTCCCATATGGCCAAAAAGTTGAGAATAGGCATAGTTTCGGACTTCGTCGGCCACCAGACGATTAAAAACGCTTTGGAATCGGAGTTACCCATTTTCGAAACTGTAGCATTTTGCAGGGCGTACAAATTGACCGCCGCGGAATTTACAGGATATAAATGACTAGCGACACAGCTGAACATACCTAAAGAGGACAGAGTCCCGTGGTGGGAAAGCCGTCTTACCTGGCAATGAAAAACACCAGGTATGCGAGCATCTAATTCTGGTGGGCCAAGAATTATAACCCCCACTACTCCGTGGAAAGATGCAGGAAAATGCCTCGCAATCTTCCAGCCACCATTAGCCTAATGATTCTAATATGTGCTTCAGACCAGTAGTCTAAGATCCACCGAAAAACGTGGTATTTCAATATACTTCTGATGGCTGACGGCTCCTTCGGACGCGAAGTGAACTGGAAATCGCTCAATGACGGACCGCACGGAAATGGAATAAAGGATGAAGATTGGTGTATCAGAGGATACTTGGTTTGCTGAGGAGCAGAATGTTGGTAGCGTAGGTAGTCGTCGGGTTATTCGCTGACCTGGGCAATTTGATTGCAACGCGCCGATGATGTCACCTCGATTCGCGATCAAATTGCGATCAAATTGCCCGTCTCAGAGAAAAGTGTTGGTTAACTGTCGGCTTATTTTTTATCAACCAACAATGAAACCTTACGCTCACGCGCAGGGTGCGCAAGCCAACGACCGATGTTCCTCGTGCACATGCAAACTTTTCTTGATTACCGCCTGCCCCGGATATCCATGTCTATTTCTCCCCAATTTTGTTGCATGGCCCTTGGTTTCCTGCCACGGCTCTTGGCTTAAGAAGCTCAGGTTTGTTTCTCTGCTAACCTGCTATGCAGCAAGAATCACGTTATACCCACTACCTACTATGAGAGATGGTTGGATTCATTGTTTTCAGCTATCAACCTGGGAAGGAAGCGAAGCGAATGTCAGGAGCCCTGGGTTTACTATATGTTTACACAATGATCGAACTTATTTTACAACCGTAGATTGTCCCTGGATGAATCGGGGCACAAATATTGATCAGCGGCCTACCAACGCCCTGCACTGTTGCGGAGACCAGTTTGGTCTAAGATTACCCACCGTGTTCTTGGTTTGAACTGACCAATATGAATGCTTGTTTAAATGCGCTAAAGTTGCGCTTTCTGTTGTGTCTCCATTTATGCCACCTGTAGACAACCCGAGGCTGATGAATGACTTGGACGGACAGCAAACATGCGATCAAATTGCGAACCCAGACGAAACGGGAGACAATATTGAGTCGCCGGATAGTTGTAGCGAAAAACCAACTAATGGTGGCGGGGATGTACCGGCGGACGAAGTTGATGATGACAGTCGGTAAGCTCGGCATGATGTAGAAATTACGAAATTCCAGGAAACTGTTTGTTGGGGGACTGAGTAGGGAGACAACTGAAAGTGAGTTCAACTTCTGCTACTATTTCTTCTGAAGATGACTTGAGGGACTATTTCTCCCGATGGGGAAAGGTCACACAGTGCATAATAAAATTGGATCGATTTACGGGCAATTCTCGAGGGTTCGGCTTCGTCACGATGGAAAGTGAAGATTGTGTCAGCAAGGTAAGTTCTTGTTGATAGCCCCAAAGCTGTAGGTACTGTGTGTGTCTGAGCATTGGCTGAACAACAAGAAAATAGACCCTAAGAAAGCAAAGCCTTCTAGGGAACCATTGAGGAAGGTTTTCGTTGGTGGCATTGATCCAGATGTTACTGAGGAGCAAATAAGGGAGTACTTTAGTTCCTTTGGCAAAGTTGAATCACTGGACCTGCCGTTTGATGCTCAGAAGGGACGAAGGAAACATTATATTTTCGTCAGCTTTGCAACGGAGGCGGCTGCCCGCAAAGCTATTGCGTTGGAACGGCAAGAGATATTTGGACGACAGGTACTACCTATAGGTTCCCTGACTGCCTACTTTCAGTGTGATGTCCGTGTAGCCGTTACACGTGAACAAGCCAGTAGGCAGAAAGGTAATCACGTTTTACTCACCTTAGTTTCTTTCAGCACTGAAGCAGTGGTATGGTTTCTTCGACTATGCCTACCCTGGCTATACGTTTGGTGACTTTGCTAATCCATACTCTGGGTATGATCCCTTTGTGTATGGGTACTATGGATACGACTACCAGAACACTGCAGCTGCTGCTGCCAGTTACGGTGAGTCAATGCGCTGTACAACTCTCTATTTTCACGCGGTTGGACGATGTGTCCACAGTTTGTAATTGGAAGGTGAAGCTGTATATCCTACTTTTGGAGTGCGCTGTACAACTCTCTATTTTCACGCGGTTGGACGATGTGTCCACAGTTTGTAATTGGAAGGTGAAGCTGTATATCCTGACTTTTGGAGCTGTTTAAAAAAAAACAAGAAATGTCAGTTCTGCTGTTTATGTGGTCGCCATCCTGACGGCATGCAGGGGTAAAGTCAACGGTCATTTGCAGTTTGGCCTGCAGAGATCATATGACGATTCACACAGGGGAGACAGGTCTACGGAACAAGTAGCAGCAGCACCCGGACTTTCCGTACTCTTCCCCCATTTCACGTACGCGTTACATTCTGTTAGGCGTGAGAAAGGGCACGTCTGGGCAAGCCACTACTCTAGGGCTCTGGCTACCCCACAGTCGAACCGCATGGTGTATGGACAAATTGCTGCCTGACTACCATTGCGCTGACGTCATTTGTGATCATGGGTTTCTAGTTCAGGCGATGAAGGCCGCTCCGATTGTCCCACATGATCAGTCTTACAACCGTAACGTGACCTGTACTTTGGTTTCATTGTCTTCATCGACAGCATGACATCAGTGGTCGACGCCGATGCTTCACTGCCGTACAACCATGATCTATTTGAAAGCCTCACTCTAGAGGAAAGAATAAAGGTGGACGGGGAAGGGACTTAGTGCTAGCTTACTACAGTCATTCCGAGGTGTCTACACCTCCGGACATTAACTCAGGCAATCTGAATACAAACTGAAAACAAGAACGCAACTGACATCGGTTGGCAGCCGTATCTTGTAGTGTTTCCAAGTAGGCGCAGCGGGGATCACACTGTCCTAGAAGGTGAGTAGCACCGACTAATCTCCTACATACCCCTCTGCCGTGTCGAGGGTTGGCCACTTCTCTGCTTAGGCCACTCTGATTTGGACATGGAAAACAACACTTTCTTCGGTACGTGATGGTTCGGCATACGCATTACATGTCCTAACCAACGCAGCATCTGGCGCTGGACAAATTCTTAAATGGAAGTGCCCGCTGTACAATCGAAAACCCGCTTCTCAATTGCCTCTACGGATTCGCCGACACCAAACCACACGAGCTACAGTTCTGAGACAACGATTGTCGAACACCTGAAGCCGTCTCTGTTCCGCTTCTCGGACAGGCCAAGTCTCAGTCATACAACAAAACAGCCCGCACTGTAGCTTGGTACACGTCCTTTGAGATTCAGGGATGCACTACTATGACGCCATAAGTGTACGAAAACTTGGAGAGCTCGCCGTGTACTGTCACACGTCCGGCAGTCTGGGAATACAAATAGCTTATTATATTCACAAATTTCCGTGGCATTCCTTGGTGGCCAAGCGTGTCAAGCAGAACAGATCGGTCAACCGAGTCAAACGCGCCTTGGAAGTCCAGGAATACTAGAATTGTGGGTCGTCTGTACGCATGGCGTTGTTCTGACACCTGACGAAGTATGAAGGTTTAGTCAACACAACCCCGGAATCCCGCTTGCTGCTCTGGAGTCAGTGTTTCACGAGCCACCATAAGGTGACGAAGCACAAGCGACGCCAACAGTCCCGTTGCGACCGGGGTCAAGCTGATCCTCCTGCGGTTGCCACACTCAGTACGAGCCCCTTTTTGGAAAATGAGCGCTAGCACCGACCTCCTCAGTTGTCTGGAATAGTCTCATTTTCCCAAATGCAGGCAAACAGATCGGACAAGTGTTGACTATGGATTTCACCTCCGTCTTTGAATAATGCGGGTGGATGGTCATCCGGACCAGAGGCTCGGTGGCGCTTAAAAAAACATGCAATCATAAACCTCCGAGGCCGTAGGTGGTTCCACGTTGACCATCCAGGGTTCTACGTCATCTGTGAACTTCAGATGAGTGCCAGCTGGTGGCCACGAGAGTTGTTCGAAGTATTCAGCCCACCGGTCGAGGTGTTCATACTCCATATGCTCACTTTATTCCCATCCTTGATGGTTTCGCTCGCAGGTGGCTTCCGGGGGCCGGTCGCTTGAATCAACTGAAACAATTTTCGGGCTTCGCCGGCTTTCTGCGCCTCTTCTAGTTCTTTGGCTTTCTGTGTCCACCATACTGCACGGTCAGCTTGTACATTCACCTTCATTTGATGTCTGATAATTCGTCGCGTCAAGTTATGTTCTGGACCGGTTGGGATATGTCCCCTGAGATTGTAGCAGTGCTACCGCTTGGTCTGATATCCAGTGCTTGAGTGAGCTTGGTGGTGCTGTGCCACAGGCGAAATTCCCAACACTGAAAAGAGGTGGTAATACCGTCCCAGTATGAGTTCGCATCTGATAGTGGAACCTTTGGGAGAGACGTTAGAAGACGATTCTGGTAAGTTCGTCTAACACCTGGATCTGCCAGTCTTAGTTGCCAAACGATTTGTGCGCACCTTACGCGGCCATGCAAAAAGTAGGGAGAAGCGACTCCGGACGAGCACGTGTTCAGAGTCTACAAATGTATTCCAAAACGACCGGCAGTCAGTTGGTGATCCTCGACATCGGTAACTGACGTCAGTGTGGTCGATTTGAGTTTCTGTCGGACATGCAGTTGGGGACATGTGGTCAGACGACTTTGGCTATTTCGGAAGTTCGTACTGCATAAAAACAGCTGAAGCGCTAAGCCTGCCCACTTGAGCACTCATATCTCCGGCAAATACCACGATGCATGAGCTCGCCGCTGTAGGGAATTCAGGGTGTCATAAAACCTGTCTTTGACGGCATCGGAGCTACAGTCAATTGGGGCCTAGGCAGACACGATAAACAGACGTCTATCAACTTGTCGTTCGTGAGACTCCTTCAGAGACGTTGCTAGACGAACCGCACAGAAGCGATTATTAACAGGCATGCAGTCAAGTAAAGATACTTCCGCCGTACTAGCCTCTGGATCGCCATAAATGCGTGGCCGAAAGCGGGTGAAGACTGATGGGGCATGCTTGCATCCTGAATTCTTGTTTCTGAGACAACACACCAATGCCAAGCGAGTCCAGTTTGAAAGCACTGCATTGTACGATGGGTTGGGAGGGAATCAGGGGGAAGGCTGGTGAGCGAAGAGCTGCAAGGGTAAATGATACTTCCCGGTTGCCCAGGCCGAAGAAATGGGTTTGGTTGAGGTACCCCACCTCAGCCTTTGACTCAAAAGGGTGACCCACAAGGCAGTGCGAGAACATAGGGTTTTGTTCGGGGACCCTGCCCCTGGCGTCTACCTCAAGAGGCTGGACCGCGAGACAACGATTGTTAAGGTTTTCCTGGAAGACCCTTTCCGGGGCCAATGACTCAATAGTCTGACCTAGTAGGGGCCCGGCCTGGCCCGAGGGCGCACGGAGTACGGCATTACTGTCTCACTCCTGATGCGGCTGCGCAGGTGCCTTGTGGGCAGCAACAAGCTCTTTAGTTTTACAAGTATTTCGACCGTATTGAATAATGCACCGGCTTTCACGGTCAACCGTTGGGCGATCGGAGTGTGCAGTTTTTGGGACCGGCCTTTTCTAGTCTACCCTTCCTCGGGGGAAGTGTCTCGGTTTAGATCACACAGCGGGCAACGCTAATACGTGCGAACTGTGGTAATATGCCATCCCCAGCTGTCGCCTGATCCCGACTCCTAATACAGCGGAATAATAATAAGACGAAACCTTGGACACAATTGTAATACTCTGAACAACAAGCGATTAACAGGCAATCGCGGAAAAATGCCGGAAGTTCGTTAGCACGAATAATGATACAGAGTTCGTGGGGATATTGATATCCTCAACACCCCTTGTGGAAAGTCAGTAACGGGCTCGACTTGGGTCGACCTGGATACGTCCCGGCTGGTGTTTGTGCCAGTCTGTCCACCACCTGGGAAAAAGTGCTGAATCAACCACTGAGCTGCCGGTCACACTTTTCTCTTTGGAAACTGCATCAGCTTTCGGCTCAAAAGTGTCGAGCAATATGTCCAACGGTGCGATACCCGCACGTACTGGGGTTTTCAGTGTGCTGTCAAGGCGGAGTTCGTTTTGATGTCTGGTCCAGGTGTCTTGACCGACCAACGCGTCGTACATCGCACTACTGCGTTTGCGCAGGATACAATATGTAATCCACGCATCATGTTCCGGGCGATAATCACAGGCAACTAAGGGTGTTCTCACCTTGAGTGGGGCTCCAGCTGCCACCGGTATGGACCTTTACTCAGTAAACTGTTGGCAACATGGAGTAATGCACAGTTCTCAGCTTACGGCCCATGAGTGCCTCTGGAGATGACTGATGGTTCGCAAAAGCATCCTTCGGGGTTCGGTACACAAACAGGAATCTCTGAAGGGCTTCGACAGATGTCTCCTCCCCTCGAGTTTTAAGAAAGGCTCTATTAAGTGTATCGACGAACCTTTCTGCTTGACCGTTCGATTGCGGGTGATACGGTGGTGAACGAACGTGTGTTATAGCATGTTCAGTGGAACTCTGCGGGGGTGAACTGCGAACCGTTGTCTGAGACGATGGACTCCGGTGAGCCATGCTGGCTGAAAATGTTGGATAACACACAGCGTACTAGATGTCGTTGACCACTTGGAAAAAACGTCAACCAAAACCAAATAGGAAGTGCCCTGCGAGACCAAGGCTTCTCAGGTTGAGGCCAGGGAACGGTGGTTGATATGGAGGGTTCTCGGCATCCTGTTGGCATCGGGAGCAGCGTTATGATGCGCTGGTCCGTGCGCGGCCAGTAAGCGTAACTGCGAGCTATTGATTTCATGCGGTTTATTCCTGGGCGCCCAGAATGGAACTGACGGAGGACTCGATAGCGTAAAGATTGAGGAATCACTACGCGATCTCCGAACATTAAGCAGTTGCTTACGACTGACAGTGCCTCTCGGTGATGAAGGAGCTGCCGAAGGCAGTCATCTTTGAGGTTCGAAGGCTACTGACAATTCACGGGTTGGATCGCCCTTTG